TATATATATATATATATATCACGAGTGAATGCTAACAAGTCAGCCAAGCAACTTGGGGAAAACAAAGTCAGTCCGACTGTCAGTGACCACCTATCAACGCGCATATATTGCGCCTGGGCGTGTGTCGACGGCTGGCCAATCAGATCTCGTACATAATGCGCTGGAGGATTGTATAGTTCTTTAATTCGGTGTCCATTTCATGCAGGCGGGGCGAGCGGTCTGAAATAAAAAATTTAATGTAATCTAATCATATCAAAACAAATTTGATAGATACTGAGGAAATACCCATAAATTGTCCAATATTCTGGTCGCAATTTATTATTAAATATAAACGCCTGACGCGTGTAGATGTATATTACGTTCTGGACGATAAATCTACAATAATTCATGATTATTTGGAATATTATTTAAAACGTTTACTTTGACGTTTCAACTGTCACTATTCATAACGATTAACGTACGCTAGCACTATTGTGACAGCCAGCATTCAACACTGAAACAGCTAGATAATCATTCAAGATGTGACGGACGGTAGGCCTACTCTCATTTATAAATTACCTCATTATAAACTGCCACTCAATTATAAATTATCTCATTATAAAGTACCACTCGATTATAAATTTCCTCATTAGAAAGTACCAATCAATTATAAATTAAGCTATTAAAAGTAGAATAACGGTTATGTACTTTGCGACGTCTCGGTGACATTTTCCGTGTGATCGGTGACACATGGTCGCATCGGGTGTATAGGTGCATGCGCGAGGAATACGTGAATAGGGCGTACGCAGCCGTGGTTTCCCTCGTTCACACTGTGTCCAGCCGTCTGTAGCCGTGGCGCTGATACAGGCGTCCCTGTAAGTCGGTATGCACATGGTCTGCTTCTTCATGGATCGTATACTGGCACTCATGCCCTTTCTGAAAAGTTTACACACACGCGCGCGCACGTGCATGCGCGCCTACACGCGCGTCACTTGTGCGGATAATTGTATATAAATCCGTCGTGTTGTCGGCGTCATGCGACGGTTACCCTCTTACACGCCTCGCGTGCCGTCATTTTGTCTGCGTTGCTTCGAGTGTCACCGTGCGGCAAAGGTCACGCACGCACGCACGTATACTCACTCACTCACGCACGCATGCACGCACGAGTGTTGTCCCCTTTGCTCTAGCCGGAATGCTGCCGGCACATGCACCAGTGTGATCGGCTATACCCAATTAAATTCCATAATGTTGAGAGAACACGGAACTCCGCGCTGATATTTATACTAGGGCAGTAATGAATGAGCTGATGAGAGTGCCCCTATTCATTGTCGAAATCCATGGCAACGCGGTCGCCGTATTGTTGGCACAACAAATGTCGTAATTTCGGCAGAACTGGAAAAATAGGGGCGCATTCACAAATTGTTGTAATTACACGCGGGATATCGTAAAGCCGGCAAGGGCCCGTTTGAATAGCACAAAATCTCCAAAAAGCTGCAAAATTAACGAAAAAGATAAAAAAGATAAAATTCCTGCTGTAACGGCAGTTGCGTTTTAAGCGTTGCCGCGACAGCTGCAAGTATTGATAAGCACGCATCAATACAGATACGGTGTCTATTAAACCTGTCAGTTGGTATCGCGAACGCGAAAACATAATAATTTCTATGATTCTGTCTGAATAAAAGGCAGGACGGCAGATGTTTGCTAGTATCAATTTCTTTCCCCTATTTACTCGGTTTTGTCCCAGATGACCAGTAATGTTTACTGAATTTAAAATCCTATCATTAATTCGGCTAAAAAGCGACCAATCACATTTTTGGAATCTAGGCTATGGAGTTTCCCCTAATATCGTGATGCTCAGTTACGTTGCTGTTTGTGTATTTTACGCGCCAATTTTAAACAACCCGCGCTTTTCCGCTGCTCGCGCTATCTGCTTTTGTGCATGCGTGATAAAACTGCTTGTCACAATGCTTCAGCAGGTGGTTTTATACGTTGCTTAGATGCAGGTGCTTACATGCGGGGGCAGAGCGAGCGCTGCCCCTCTTACCATGTTCAATGCCAAAGTTGGACGTTTGCTTGCTTAGTCGGGCGTTGAACTAACGTGATAGCGTTTAATGATAGCTTGGCTGTGGTGCGCTATGTGACAACGATGCTTGCGAAAGGATGATGCAGTCATGCAGGCTTGCGAATTCAGTGTTTTGATAAAACCTGTAAAAAATAACGAAGCCCCGTAAAATAACGTTAAATGGAATTACGTTCAGTTCGTTTCACAGTGTCGCGTCGCGTTGCGTTTTACAAGTATCATTGTATGTACAAGTGTTTTATTTATTGTAACACCTAATTATACTTGCTATTGAAATATTTGCTATACTCATCTTGTTTCTACCATTGTCGGCGTTTAGTTTGCGTGACTGTCCGTTTGTGAGTGCATGAATGCGTGCGTGTGCGTGTAGGTGTACGTGCGTGTGCGTGTATGTGTGTGTGCGTGCGTGCACGTGTATGTGTGCGTGCGTGCACGTGTACGCGCACGCCTGTGTTTGTAACAGGTGTTATATGATTAATGGTTATTTTACAGGAGTCGTCTGATATACCTATAGAAGGGTTGGCACCACCGAGAACAAAGGAGTCTTTGAATGCCACATCTGACGAAAGCGTCTACGGGTAAGATATCATAAATAATAGACTATATATATTACCTGTCACACATAGCACATATCCCATTTGTTTTCACCCGTCAGGCGACACTAGCATTGATCAGTAATTGAAATTCTCCCATGTGATGATAATACGTCTGCGATCCTATTTCAGTGATAAGGAATCGTCTAGCGCTCAGGCAAGGCGAGGCACGGAGGAAGATGAAGAGGAGGAGGGCAAGGAGGGCACAGACTACCACAAGGCAGCATTGGTGAGTAGTGCATACGCGAGAATGTTTATGCGCAATGTATTCGCGTCCTCTCTGAACTAATTCTGCGTTTTTTTTTCTCATACAGTTATAAGCATTAGCTTTAATGTGCATATAAGCATGGTAGCGTTATTTCCAATTGCCGGAATCCATTACCTTTATCCTGCGGCACTAGCTCGTCATTTATCCTCGTGAATAGCATTTATCAAGTTCATATATATGCTATAAACTATGCACGTCATTTATCTTGATCTAATTGTAATTATTCGATTCCTAATTTGCACGGTCCCAGCTCGTATTTTCACGACTAACTGTAATTTATTTGTATTATTTCATTTTATTCAACAACAAAATCTGCTCGCCGCCGATTCGATTTCAAATTCGATCGGAATGACAGGTCGAAATCCGTGACAAGCTTACATGGTCTATTAATAGCACATGCAGTAATATTACCTAGATATGCAGGTCGCACCCGCACGCTGACGCTTCCACGATTAATTTCATTCTTTCGTGTTTATCTTCTTACAGATAATAGAAGTGTTCAACAGCGTGAAGGTTGGTCGCACGCGGTGTCCTGCTGTATATGTACCTATATATGCGCGTGGTGTTTTCTTCACCTGCGTCTGATATATATACTTCTAAACACTGCGTCTGTCGTTTTCTAAGCAGGTTCTTGTTTTCACAAACCGGAGTTTGTTGCTGCGTTGACGGCAGAAGCCGCTGGTGCCGTGTGTCGCACCCAGTTTGCTGCTGTTTGTCATAAGCTATATGTTATAATGTTGTCATAAGCTCATTCCTAGCCAGTGTTTGACAGGCATGCAGGAAATCGGGGGTGGGGGGTGGAGGGTGGGTGTAGTTGCCCTAATGATTTTACCCACATTATATTGCGGAACATTTCTCTAATGAGAAACGCGCTTACAACTGTCAGTTTAAAACAGATGTGGGCTTCGTCAGAGTCATATTTCATATGACGGTTGTGCGTATTATTGTTGTTTAATTTTTTGGCGAAATTAAAATTTAACCACGAGGGGAAATTTAATGTAAAGCGTGTCACCTGCCATTAGCGCCATACGGGTATGGCACTATCAGCCTATATTCACAGTTCTGTACTAATGTTATATGAAACCGAGTTATTATTACTCATTTGCTCCGTTAATTAGCTAACTTACAAGAAAATGCAGCCAGGGTATGCAGCCGGAGTGTAGTAACGATCACTGCACTAACAACAGTCAAACAGCATAATCAGGGCCGGTTAGATTTTAATGTATGTTAAAATGTATGTATGTATGTATGTATGGATGTATGTATGTATGTATGTATGTATGTATGTATGTATGTATGTATGTATGTATGTATGTATGTATGTATGTATGTATGTATGTATGTATGTATGTATGTATGTATGTATGTAATGTATGTTTATGTTTTTTATGTATGTTGTATGTTTGTTACTCTAATCGCATTGTGGTGAGTGAGTATATTTTATCACTGATAGCCACAAAACCAATCGAGCCGATCATTGGCATAGCGCTAACAATAGATCCAATACGATATTTACAATCATTTTATATCCTGTTGTTTCCAGTATAAGTCTTCGCTGGAGTTACATATAAATCGTCACTATAATGCTATACGTTCGATTTGCAGCCGTATCACTCCTCTGATAATTTGCGCGCGTTTGTCTGGGCGTGTGCGTGTGGTTGCGTGCATATGTGCGCGTGTGTGGGTGCGTGCATATGCGTGTGTGTTTCAAAAAGCGTACTCGTACCACCTATTTTTCCGTGAAATGGTATATCGCCATTCATTATTACTGTTATCAACCCAGTATAGCAACGTTTGTTATGACAAATTCCTGATGTATATACACGGAAGCAGTTATAGATCAGATACTAGCAGCTTGTTCCGGCACATATAATTAATCCGCTTAAGTATTATAACTAAATTAGTAAGTGGGTCGTATATGCCAGTTATCTCTGTGTAGTCTTTGTGGTCACGCCTAGTAAAACTGTCTGTGGTCTCCATATAAGCAAGGAGATTTGCCCGTAACTAGTTTTCCACGTAAAATACTACAATATATATAACTGCTATAATTTTGTTAATTGTTCACTGGAAGAACACAAGTTTAACGGCATTCAATAGCTGGATACTTTAGTGACTGGTAGATGTACAATGTGGGATACGATAGACAACCAGAGAGCAGATTTTCTATTATTTAAATTAGGAATAGATTCACGTACGTGCCTATAAACCTATTCAGCATATATGTCTCAGAGAGCTACATAAACTCGTTGTGTTGGTAGTCACAGAGCGCTGGCACTGTTTTTCCACATGACATGACATGAGGAGATCTTTGCTTGCTTGTTTTTATGATTGTAAATAAGCTCGAATTGAACGTTGTTTGTTCTTTGGTTTTTAATTTGGCATAATTTCGGAGGGCTTATCTGTAGCATGCACACTTTCTCATATGCATAGAGTAGGCAATGAGTAATATTGCACTCGTGTAGCTTTTATGCTTGCTTTGATCAACAGTGATTTACATAATTGGTTAGTTGCTTATTGACTTTCCTTTGATGCTGCTAGACCTACTACTAATGCTGTGTTGTAGCCACTAATTGCTTCACTGTGATGGTGCTATGTTCGTTTTTTATTCATGTGTATGCTATGTTGTATTTTGCTTGGCCTAACCCTGCATTTTCCTGTATCGTCACAGTACGTGTTAAAACATGTGAGCAAAGCGTTTATGAAATCAGTCTTACTATCGGTATGAATTCCAGTACCAATAAGATGAGTGAGTGATTACGTTGTGTTAAATGGTAAAAACGTATATTATGACACATGTTGCACATATAAAATATGAACATTTTCAACTTAATTACAAATTTAATAATTCTTAATAATTTTATTGGCAACTATTTTCCCTGGAATATTCTATTTACGAAAGTTCAGCTGGTATTACAGTAATTATATATAAAATTAAATCAATGCCATTTTAATGCAATTAAGTGAATCCATATGTGAGTTTTTTTTTACAAATTATTTTTCAGTTTAATACCCAGTTTATTAGAATTATGCTTTATAACAGTGCTATAACAGTATGAATTTTTATTTATATATGTAGAAAATATTGCAACTATATTCATTTAATCCTGTGTTGGCATACTTTCTTGGTTACCATTTTCAAATTGGTTAATTTTTTTGTAAGTAGCTTTACCTAAACAAAGGCAACTATGTTATCCATTGTAGGATATTTAACATTTAACAAATTATTAGTTCTCATGACATGTAAGAGCATGCATGCTAATGGTAGATCAGCACGTAATCATAGATGTTTCTCATATCTTCACAGCTTGGTAGGAACACGTACTGTGTTCGGATATTAACGTGCGTATCGGCTGCCAACTCCTACAATAGAATGTGCTTTCTTATTACAGAGTTTCCTGGCAAGAAACTTCTACACACTGAAGACGCTTGCTCTCGTGTTGGCCTTCTGTATCAACTTCATCCTGCTCTTCTACAAGGTGCGTACATATACTGTCTACCTGTCTTTCTTTTCACACAAAATGCTTTCGTCCATTGGAAGGATTTTCAAATGCCTGCCTCCGTAACCTAGATTGGTTCGATGTCGTTTAATCGACAATATCTGTATCTATAATAAGTGGTCGGTAACGGAATGCATATTGTTATGTATTTTTATTAGGCCAGTGTTTCTGGTATTACAGATAACATGCTTCATAAAATAACTGGCATTATGGAGGGGGTGATATAAGAAAGTAAAAAAAAAATTAAAACACTTATTCACTATTTTTTTTAAATCGTGTAAAAAATAAGCACATAGATGAAGGCTAGTAGGGCGCTCGTTTCCAATCTATTTGCGTCAGTTCATGCGTTAGATATGATTTATACAATGCCTTCATGACGCAGGTAACCGTGTTGGAAATCGAGGAAGGTGAAGGAGAAGAGGGAGAGGAAGAAGCAAAGGCTCCTGAATGGGTACACCTAGAGGAGGACCATTCTGCAATCCTCGATCCGACCATACGTCTTCTGGCGTTTATTCACTCTGCCGTTGCCTTCTCTATGCTCATCGCCTACTATTATCTCAAGGTAGGCAGCCACTGTATGGTGGGGGGGGGGCAGTATATCTCACATCTACAGAGGCCTAGAGCTGACCAAGCTGCTATAAGGTGATAAAGATGTGCGCATATGTATCGACCCTGAATCTACAGGTCTACAGGTCGAGTAAAACGAAAATATAGCACTATAAGCACCATTATCATACGATTTTGTTAAGTAAAATATATATTTATTTTTTTTCATTTACATATTTATGGGTAGTTTCTTCTATCTCCACCAGGTGCCACTATTCATCTTCAAGCGAGAAAAAGAGGTTTGCCGCAGCCTGTTATTTGATGGACTCTACGTTGCCGAGCAGCCAAGTGAGGATGACATCAAAGCCCACTGGGACAAACTAGTCATCAGCACGCGCTCATTCCCAGAGAACTACTGGGACAAGTTCATCAAGAAATCGGTACCGTTTCATGATTTCCTCCGTGTGCTGTTGCAAATACTTCTGAACACTTATGTGTTTGATATTACATCCTGTGGGAACGTTGTCACATAGCTCGGAAATATTCCTGGCAGGCTACAGGTTTCATTGCCATGAAGCATTGCTAATGTGTTAGTTAATATATTGATGGGTAATTAAGATCATTGTAGGTTATTTAACAAATAAAATGTCCACAGAAAACTGTCACGTGGCCCTGTAGGTAGATGATGAACTATACGAGTATATTTACAGGAAGCAGAATATATCATAAACTCTAGTGCCAGTGAATAGTGCCATCATCGCACCTGCCCTGTAGTGAGTCGGCAAATTTATTATACCAGTAATATATAATTGTGTATATATACATCTCATTTTTATGTATCAGCCATAGGTTAGTGATAATGTGCTATACCTCTGAAATTCAGCTGTGACAATGTAATCTAGCAAATCACATTTTATTCGAAGTCTATTCTGTGTCGTTTAGGTTCAACAGAAGTACAGCGAACAGTATGACCATGATGCCATCAGCTTGCTTCTTGGCATGGATGAGGCAGACAGCTTCTCGACTGAGAACCCCAAGAAGAAAGAGAGTGGCGGTTTAATCTCATTGTAGGTGTTAGAATCTTTAAACTGCTCAAAAAATGTCAAAAGCTTGTGTGAATGTAAATGATCAAATAACTCTTCAATGCATGCTTCTTTTCTACAAATAGGTTATAATTATATGCTAGTATCACAATTTCTGCACATTTCTAGTTTTGACCTTGAAAATTTCTTATTCTGTAGAAATTTCCCCGTTTTGCTTGCTCTCTCAATCACTGTTTAAAACTATGGTAGAAAGCATTTTTTAAGACAGATAGCGCCAGCCCTACTAGTTTGTAACCTGCTCATGGGAAATATTGTAATGTTTTGAAGTTGTCATCCATTTGTATATACACTACCTTTTATATGTAGTGATTTTTTGTTTAACGCCATGATTTAATGATATTTCTAGTCATAGCTGTATAGTATACTCTACATAAGCATTACGAATCATAGATCATAATTTATTACTATGTATTGCAAAATATTTTGTTCTGTCCACAGCATTTACTCAATTGATTGGAAATACCAGATCTGGAAGAGTGGCGTTATTCTCACCAATAATGTAAGAATTTTCTCGATGGTAGTTTGCCCTTCTCTGTACTTCAAAAATGGCAGATTGTACATACCACACGTTTTTGTCTCAGTGCCACAAGGTCACAACAGGTTCAAATTTTTAATTGCATCTACAAATTAGAAGAACTTGTCCATTTTAATAAAAATGTCCATGTTATTCAAACTACATTGACAGCATAGATTGTGAATGAGATCATGTGTGTTTGCTGTTTGCAGTCATTCTTGTACATCATGTGGTACTTCCTCTTCTCTGTGCTGGGCAACTTTAACTACTTCTTCTTCGCTTCTCACCTGTTGGACGTGGTGATGTCCATCAAAGCCCTCAGCACGATCATGCAGTCTATCACACACAACGGCAAACAGGTATAACCATCTGTTACTTAGGACGTAAGCTTATGGTAGATGATATAACTTTGGCTAAGTGATGTAGGCAACATTTTCCTTATCCAAACTCGTCATTTACATCTGTTTAGGGTTGCCGGGTGGGTGGGTGGCTGTGCATAACGCATTTAACTCTAGTATAGTTAATATGAAATAACTGTAATGCCATTTTGAATTCATCGTTGCTCAACATTGTAGGATACGAAATGAGGGATTTTTGTAATTAATGCTCACATATAAATCCACATAAAGATAGCTACAATGATGATGTCTGTACTTCCTATTCTCTCTCTCTCAGCTCTGCTTGACCCTTATGATGATGACCATCATAGTCTACATCTACACCGTACTCGCTTTCAACTTCTTCCGCAAGTTCTACGTGTCAGAAGGTGACGACGGGGAGGAAGAACACAAATGTCACACCATGGCCGCGGTATGCACAGCTGTGTACAGAGTAGCAGTAGCCATAGAAGCGTAGAGTAACAGTAGATCGATCAGTATGGACAAAAAGAATGGAATTGGTGTAGTGCAGTGGGGTAGCACAGCACAGGGTAGCAATGCTTTATGTGGTATTAGTCTGGAGCTGTTATGAAATTATTCTGCTGTACTCAATAGGGGGAAAATTATTATCTTTATTATTTTACAGTGCTTCCTCTTCCATTTGTACGTGGGTGTCAGAGCTGGTGGTGGCATAGGTGAGTCATATAGCGTAAACATCTGCACATATTAATAATAAAATATGATTGCTTGTGTAGGCCCTATATGCTTGTGAACATTGCATATCTTTGTAAAGCCGTTTACGTAGGGTATACGTCATTATGACACGAGGGAATGAATATATCAGAAGAATATGATCAATACAGGTATGGCTGTATCTGTATATCATGTCCTTTTAAATATACTGGTCAATTTTCAGCCCCATATGCATATACACATAAAAATATACTATTTCACTAGTAATTGAAATCGATTGTCATTCATCATAGAAAACTGCATCATTCCTCATTAAGTATTCATACCATACTACGTATCTGCCTGTATGTATTGTAATGTAAATAAGCGCATATACTAATAAAGCTTGCGGCATTTCATTTTTAGGTGACGAGATTGAAGCACCAGATGGGGACCAACAGATGTTCCGTTTTGTCTTTGACATAACGTTCTTCTTCTTCGTCATCGTCATTCTGCTTGCCATTATTCAGGGTAAGTGTTTCCATGCCTAACAAATAAGAAATTCTAAATGTAATAACTAAACATTTTTAGAAATTGTTTAGTGATGTGTTTTGTGAGGTAAAACGGAGAGAATGTGAATCACAGACATTGCTTTCACATTTATAACTTTGATGTGTTTGCTTATAGGTCTGATCATTGATGCGTTTGGTGAGCTCAGAGGTCAGCTGGAACAGGTCAAGGAAGACATGGAGGTAGGTTTTCTTGTACAAAATAGATTTAATAGGTAATAGCGTAGTAGGACATTGCCGATAGTTGCTAAGACTTACACAGGATTGAAAATGTTACCTAGCAGGTTTTATATGTGCCCTTTAGTAACTCTAATGTTAAGATAAATATACAGACACAGACGCGAGTCAGTCAGTATGACCAGACCAGTGGTTCTTTTCTTTCCCTTGCCGTTTAGCTAGTTCTCTCCAAGTCATGCCATTTGCTCGTTATTTAGGCCTATTCGCCCAGTACAAAAGTGTAAATGTGCTTATATCAAATATGCATTTAGTATTAGATTCCATGCAATTGATTTCCCAGCTCTTGATTAATGTAATTTAATTTGGCTATTCGATATGCTCTTTTTACAGTCACAATGCTTCATCTGTGGTATCGGCAAAGAGTACTTTGACAAAATACCACACGGGTTTGATACGCACGTTCTGAAAGAACATGACCTCGCTAACTACCTGTAAGTATTTTAGATAATAAATTATTATTTAATATTTGTTATTATATCAAAATAGGTATCATCACTAGTATAATAATTCTCTAGAAGCACATGAATCATCAAGTAGTCTATAGCTCCAAGTAGTTCATCACTATATTGAAATTATATCTCGATCTTTATATTTCTTTATGTTATGTAATGAGGAGGTGCAGTCTTAAATATATTAATATGTGCACTCCTTCTTTCGTAGGTTTTTCTTGATGTACTTGATAGACAAGCCCGAAACGGATTACACGGGCCAGGTAAGAAAGCCGCATCCTACTTCTTGAAAAACTACATAAAGCTACCTATAGAAGCTCGTGACAATGAGTTTTATTTTAGTTGGGGGAGGGGATCTAAAGCCGAAAATTTAAAATGTATATGAATTGATTTCGGTATGGATGACTGATTCCATGTTATCTTAAATGCGGAGGGTAGTAATGCTAATTTACTTTGAGGATACCAAGATACACCTTGTGAAGGGCGCTAAAACCCCTGCCTATAAGAGGAGGAAGCAAAGCAACATGTGTAAACATGTGTTCTGAGAAGGGGCAACTGCCCCCCCCCCTCCCGTCCCTGAGTAATGCAGCTTGATGATTGAAACGGCTTGGATTACACGTCAGCCGATAAGAACAACCTTAAAACTCTCTATAACACTCATGGTTCTTCCACTTCCATTCTGCCGAACAAAATTTCCTCCATGATTACTGAAGCCTAGCTACAGACCTGACCACCTTCCCCCTGCTCTGCATATCAAAATATTCTAAACAATATGCTGGACATGAAGCCTGATCGCTTCTGCATTTTCCCCCGCAGGAGACCTACGTGTGGGAGTTGTACCAGAAGCGGTCGTGGGACTTCTTCCCAGTAGGAGACTGCTTCCGTAAGCAGTACGAGAACGAGATCATGGCAGGCTAACACAGTGCGCCCGTGCACCCCCCCGTCTGACGCCGGGCGGCACTGCACGACGAATCGCCACTGACAGCACCTGGCCGGCGGCATTGCGATCCCCAGCCGCGGATCGCGTAAAGTGTAGACGGACGACGTACCAACCGTGCGAGCGGCGGTGAATGCTGCGAGACCGCGAGCTTGTGGCGCCACCTCACAGAGAAAATGTTCATCATGTTGAATCGACGTCGCTTGAGCCGTGAAACGTGTACTCACTGTCACGCCCATCCCAATGACAATGTCTTCGCTGCTAGCAATTTCGAGTTTGTTTTACGAAGAGGCAGCCAGAGGGCAGCACTTGACATAGCGATTGAGTGCTAGGACGGGACATTGTTGTCATTTTGTTTTTATAGCTAGAATTTACGACACCGTGCAAAATAAAATTGTTTAAAACAGCCCTTTACATCATTACATGCAAATTATGTTGCATACTATTGTAAAAACGTTATGATTTTACCACAATCACTGGCAAGTTAAATTGTATTTACAACTTTTCCCACTAAAATTGCAACCAAGGCAGCATGATTATTTAACTAAATATTTTGTCTGTTTGTGATGTATCATATTTATATTGAATTATTTTTAAGTTATTTTGATGTTTTCTCTTGATCACATTTTCTTATAGGCAGCAACTTAGCGACCGATTGAAGAAACAATCTAGTCCAAACTATCCCTATTTGATACCAGATGCATGCTTCGAGGATTTGCCTACATTGTGAGCATTCTACATAAGTGGATATTTTTTATTCTTAGTATTATGATCCTCTTGAGGCAGCATTTTTGCAAGATTAACTTATTACGTTATTTCCTGCCTGGTTTGTGCAGCAATCCTTCATAGGAATATTGCAGCTGCATCTAATGTAAAGATACTAGTAGAGATAGTCAGTTTTAATATTTGTGCTAGTAGTAATGAGGTGCTATCAATGCTTTTCAGTGTGTTATGGTGTAATCTTGTCATGACAACAAGCATTTTCATTTGGGAGAGTTATGGGTTAAGTAATAGCCATTCTTCTGTAATGATAAATACTCTTAGGAGTAGTTGCAATGAAAGGAAACTTATAAGCATGAACCCAATTTGAATTTTTTAAAAAAACTTGTCGATCTAGATTAGAATCTTAGATTGAATTTACAAAACTCTTTAGTTCCAAACGAATTTTCTTTTTTCTTTTTCAAAATGAAGATTTTGACCTTATACTCGTTGAATAAAAATGATCCCCTTATAAACTCGTTTTTTTAATAATCTTTGTGTTATTTGTTTCTGTGTAATTTCTAAATGACATCATGCACATAGAAAACTTATTAAGCCATTATAAGTATCTGCTCATTAATCTGTCATTTTTCATGTTTGCATAGGATAATATATTACAAATGCTGTACGTCAGAAATAGATTGAATTTAAATGTTAACCTGCATTCGTCTAAACCTAGCTATACTACCATGTAAAAAAATAAACCAGCTTTACACACAGATTGTATCGAAAATAACGTTTTCACATGAAAACTGGCAAACTAAAACATGGAATGAGGTGAGCCGAGGTTGTTGATAGAGAGATTCTTCGTCCACTGGTATAGATCTTCCGCATCCTTATCCTCCCAGTCACTGTTATCATTGTCATCCGCATCACGCTCACTGCTATTCTCAGCGATGAGCTCATCGCATGCCATCTACGTAAGCAAGTGAATATGTAAGTAAAAATTTCATTTTACTACAGTAAAAACATGTAACGTGTGGAGACAATGAATTGGTACACGCCTATCTTCCACATGACTGTCATTAAAGCCAAACGCAAATATACTGTTGCGCTGAGCTGCATTGATGTGCAAAGTTGACTGGCAGCACTGTAAATTTGTCAAGCGACACTATACTATCATTAGGTCAGGAGTGTATAATATAGATTACCTAACTATAATCTAATTATCTATTATATACAATCTATAGTATATTATACACTCCTGATTAGTTATCCTGTTTTGGTGTCATAGGCAGATCCCTGGATGGGTGTCAGATTATTATTCACAAGATAATAGTTTGTTGAATTGTTGAAGCTGACTATATAACCAGTTTGTTTCACTTCTGCAAAAAGCTGATTCTATTCTAGTGCGTGGGAGCTATGTATAGTAAATACCTTATTGTTTAAGGTATAGACATCTCTTAGCTTCGATGCTCGCTTCATCGCTTGCTGTGACCGTCGGCCTGGGAGATACGCACCGGATAATCCTGGAGTTATTAACCGCCTTACATGTGCAACGCCATCTGGCGACGTCCTAAAATTAAAGGAAGTTTTGCATTACACCACAACAAAGCTTATACCAAATAAGGGATTAATTTCAAGGTCAGCCCTGCTGGGGGGAGCAATGCCGTCCGATTTTTACTCACGTAGATCTTGCGAGAAGCCACAGCTGCTGCAGTTGCAGGCTCTGTGATGGAGGCTGCGCGTGCATGGCCTGGAAGCTAGCTCGCAGCTCCGGGGACATCCGCTTGCTGTTCACAAACTCCAGTACGTCGTGAAACATCGTCCATCTGGGAACATCTGCAGGAGAAGAGATGTCGATCACCAACAGGACTCTTGATATATATATATATATAAACAATATATATGTTAATCATCAACGCACGCTGGTGTATGGAACAGTATTCTCATTCGGTGTGATCACCTGTCAGGATTACTTTTTTAATCAGTTTGGCTGACCATGTATATGATTGTGGCTTACATATGTACATATATTCGCTTACAATTTTTTTTTTATGAAGAATCAGCATCCAACAGTGTTATTTATATTAGGTGCTATATATTTTTCCAATTAGCTTTATTCTAAGTGTACATGTAGGACATTGTAGGTGCATATAGTTACCATCTAAGCTAAGTTTTCTCCAGTTATTTGCTCTTCCTCCCATATAAGCTGGATATTCATCCAAATTGCTTTGGTACTGAAGTGCGATAAATATATGGAATGAGCAGTAAATGTGATTGTATGTATATAAATTTAATTTAAATATTCCATTCCTGCTCTCTCTCTCTTGTTCTCAGGGACATAGAGAAAGAGGGAGAGGGAAAGATGGACACATGCACAATCATGTGCATACGCACACGCGCACGCACGCACACACAGGGTTTAGCCAACTCATTTTGCCTGGTGTAGGATGTGGGGGCAAATGTATGCGCGTTTCGTGTTCTAGACAGTTTCCCATTGGCTATCAATCAGTCATCTGCATTTATCTGGGCATTTACTAAATAATGCAGTAATTTTCACCAACTTTCATATAGTCTTTTATGGTAACAACATCTATTTCGTCGGTTATCTTTCTTTCCATATTATTACAGACATCAACTAACAGCTGGCTATAGAATTCTCGGTTTCCGATCATCTTGCAGGCATCTAATGCACCCTGGAAACAACAAATTTAATATGGAATTAAAAAATCCTACAGAATATATATATGTAATTGCCTATCCTGACTAGTTTTAGTCTCGCGTTGCTAATACTGTTTATATGCTGCTTCTCTGTATACAGATGACTGTTAATAAGCTAGTATTCACAACAAACTAGCACCTTAGTGTTGACCATGGCCACACATCAGCCATATACATCACGTAATTAATGTGTACAATAAAATTTCGACATTCAATCTCCTGCATCCAATTCCTGTATTTTCCAATAGGTAATGACTACTATAATTTTATCAAAACGTTTTGTAACTATCAAATTTGGCTTACCTTGGAGTCTAATCTAAGAACCTTCTTTGCTGTGATATATTGGGTTGCAGTACCAGCTGCGTCACAAAACAGCTTATAGTAGATTTGTGGTGGAAACTCTTCTCCTCCAAACCTGTTTATCATACATATTCGTTAATGATAATTAGGGTTGATCATAAATAACTTCCATCAATCTATAGTGAGGAATAGAGTATATATTAAAATGAAGTATTTTTTTCTGTTGCTACATTTTACCTTGCATAGCATATGAGATATGCCAAACTATAGATAGGTACTAGAATCAGTTACTTAATTCTTGTTTTATTCACCTGAAGCGCACTTTTGTTGTAAATATCTTGTCCTTTAGCAATAGTGATTCGGCTGGATTAAGTTTCGCAAGAATATCACATGGCAAGCAGCTTTCCTGTTAAGAAATGGTGCCAATTATATAATATGAGTAAAGTAATACTGTATATCATTTTGTCGTGATAATGTTGCAGGTAGGATTAGTAGGTTATATAAACTTGGTCACACACAAACACACACGCACGCACGCACGCACACACACACACACTGTGTGATGTAATGCTTGTAATTATAACAGGAGTAAGATAATATAGATTATCTTACTCCTGATTATAATACTATGTAATGCTTTGTAACAACCCTAGGGTTCTGTTAGAAATATACATTATTAGGTTTTATAATGCTACCTACCATGCTGCACAATACATTCTTCAGCATTGAAAATAAAAGTTTATTTTGATGTCTCTTCCATGCTGCCTGTATTGCTCTAGCAGCCTTTGACTCTCTAAAATAACAAGAACTTTTTACCGAATAGAAAACACTTGGTAATGGAAATAAAATTATTACTTATTCATTATGCTCATTGGTCTCTGACATATGTATATTAACAATCCCCTCACAACGAAGTTCACGCTGCCTCGTTTTATTGGTTACATGTTGCATTGCTGTCTCTGAATAATCTAGCTCAGTACTCACCTGTCACTGAACATCATTTTTTATCGCAGTATCATATGTCACAAGAACTTTAAATTGCATGTAATGGGCCATGCAGCTACGCTGGTGCTCGTTGCTGGCCTGGAAAACCCAACAGTTACAGTGTGTATAACTATAACTATAAGATTAAGAACGAAGCAAATACAATATACCTAGCCCAATGTTGCATTGCCATTGCCATTGGGGCTAAACGTGGGTCCGGATTCTGCGACATATTAGTTAATATTACATAAGTTATATATGACCAAAGTTAAAACGTGTGCATTTGTGGTTACTTGAACTTGTGCATATAGTTGACATACGTACTAATACTACTACTAATGCTGATAGGGTCTATGTCCCCCAGGGTACTGCCGGAACGTACCCTGGGTACGGGCCGGTATACGGTTACCGGAACGTACCCTGGTACTATCTAATATGCCAGACCGTACCTCGCCTACTCCACTAACGAGTCTAGGGAGTCGCCTACTCCTACTCCCCAACCATATCAGATAGTTACCAGGGTACGTTCCGGTATACCGGACCGTACCCAGGCCAGGGTACGTTCCGGCAGTACGTACCCTGGGGGACATAGACCCTATGGCTATGAGCCTTACCCATAGGCTTAGACTTTGTTAGGCCTAGAGGCTAGAGTATCTAGAGTCTACTGAGTTAGTGAGTATACTGTCTAGACTAGTTTACAATTTCAATGTTATTAATTTGAAGTCCTCAACATTATAAATATTATTCTACAAATACAAATTTGATCAATTTTGTCTCTTTCTGTCTTCGATATAGTCTTCTTCTATATCTATGATTATTTACGACTTTACGAAACGTCTGCTAACTCACTGCCACTGGCGCCGCCGCTTGTTTTTGTAAACAAACAACTGCGGCCGAAAGGCCGAAACGTTGCCACGACACGCATAATGTCGCTAAGTAAAAATTTAAGGAATGCTAGTTCAACGTAGTTTCTGTAAATTTATTATGAAAAAATAATAATAGAATATTTACTTAATACGAACAGTGTGACTGTCTGATAGCTATGCTTCGTCGTTTCTGCTTGCAGTCGCATGCGCACTTTCCTGAAAGAGGTTCACGCAGGTTTGTTGTGGTAACAAAATCTTTGTTTTCTTAACTAAAAACCAATCGCTACGCTCTTATTGGTAATATTAGACTATAATTTGCGCGATTTATTGAAATTCCTGGTTACAGTATATCATACAACGCGCTTTGTTGGTGGTCTGGAAGTGCAGTGGTCGTTGGTAGGCGGTCGGTGTTCACGGTGTTGTAGGTTGTGTGTACTGACGCTCAAGAGTCAAGGGGTCGTTGTCGTATCACTATCAGGCACAGGCACTTGGACCGTTTCAATAATAAAATGATGGGGTGCAAATACACTTTATGACGTCCAGTATGGCGGCGCAGTATGGGGGCGCCTAACCCTAACCCTAACCCTAA